ATGTTGATATAGTGCCGAAAGTAATAAAGTATAATTGATATAGTGCCGAAAGTAATAAAGTATAATTAATATAATGCCGAAAGTAATAAAGTATATATAATTGATATATCATCGATTGATGTAGTGATTTTAAGTGATGCAATAAAAACAAAATACTCTAATTCTGAAGTTTCAAAAAAATATTTCCTAGATGAAATTTCGTTACTCCTAACAAGAAAAAGAGCTCTATATCTTATACGTACTTTTCATATATGAGTGTCGCCAAAAGAAAACCCGATAGTCTATATTTAAATTGTCAGGTTTTCTTTTGGCGACACATATGACTCCCATAATAATGTCATGTGACATATAAAATTTAAGTTTCTTTTCTATTCCGAGAACTTTAAAAATAAAGACAAATAGGCAAAACAATAATATATGGTCTGGGTTACTATTATTTATTAATTAAATTGACAAATTGATCATAAATTAATGGACGTACGTATAAATATCTGATATCAGATATCGGCGGATTTGATAAATAGAAAAACCCATGAGCCGTAAATTTGCAGATCATTTGGCCTGGTTTGAAATTATTTGACTTCAAAGCTGCCAAATTCTGCAAATTTGACCAGTTACGGCTCAGGTTTTTCTATTTATTCAAAATTTCACAAATCCGCTAACATGATATACCAGATATATACATGTATATATTATATGTATACAGATATTAAAACAAATTAAATAAATGTAAGAACCCTCTGAACAGACAAAGAATACGATTATCCTATTTGATTCAAAATCCTCTAAAAAAATTCTTAATTGCTCTTTTGCACGGGAATGCTCGATATTCAATATGGATTCATATGAATTGAAAACGAACTGTTTGTGCAACTTTGTTGTTATATAACTATCATTTTAAACATGTTATAATAGTAAAAGAAAATCATTGTGGGATTTTTTTGTAATTTGATAATCTTGTGTTCATATGTGTAATAATAGTAAGGTTGATAAATTACAGAATTACCAGTAAATTAAACATAAAGATTCCTCATACGTAATCCCTTGTGCAACGATCGTCGATGTGATCATAAGTTTATAGTCGGAGTTTTTAAAACCTTTTTCGGTAAAAGTTTTAACTACTTTAAACATGCGAGGATTTAGAGGATTTCGAGGATTTAGAAGTTCAAGAACATATATTAATTTGCAAGACGATGCTGGTTTCACCGATGCGCAGTTTCGAAATCCTGCTAATCCAAGTAAATATATTTCATAATAAAACTTATTTCTTAGTTACTTGATATTCACTCCCATTTTCCTTTTATTTCTTCTGTTGTCGATTTGATTTTATCAGTTCCATGGAATTCCATTATTCTGGCTGCTGTATTATTCGTGTTAGGTTCTTTAGGAATTATTTTGGGTTCACTCATTCTGACCGGAATCATTTCTAGTGAGGTAATAACGTTTGTCCGTTGATTGGTTAGTTATTATAGATCATAACATTTAGTTCTCGTCTTATTGATTAATTTCAGGCTTGGCTTGATAGAGGAAAACCTTTTATATTCCTTGGTTCTCTATTATTCATACCTGGTATATAAAATTATTTATAATTCCATTAATTTTAGTAATTATTCGGTTATTATTTCTAATCCTTTTTTTTTCTATAATATAGGTTTTTATCATGTTCGGCTCGCTTATTATGCATTCAAAGGTTATGAAGGATATGATTTCAATCAAATTCCTGACTGGGATTAATTTGTTCCTAATTAATGTACCTCAAAACTCTTTTATTTATTTTATTTTATAATTATTTCGTAAATTTGTAGATGTAGATAATTTTAATACATTTATTAAAAAGAAAAAATTTTATCTTTTTTGGTTCTATGATGCAATTTAATATACATATAAACATTAAATTTTGTGATTATGAAAAAAGGTGTATTGAATAATTTAATAATAAAATTCAAACTATAAATTAATTGTCCCTCCACCAATCATCATCATAAGACCAACAAATAAAAATATTCGTGTGAACCTTCGGCTTACCTGAAAGTGTTCTTTAATCATCTCCATCTCTTTTTCTTTCTCTGCTGATGCTTGCGCTCTTCGTTTCTCAGCTTCATAATGTCTCTGATAATGTTCATTAAAATTAAATTTTAATTTCTTTCGATGCTCTTGATATTTTTGTTCTGTTTCAAAATTTGATTCGAATGCTGTCCCTTCTGATGAATTACCATACATTCCATAATTTTGTCTCCGTCTTCTAACTTTAGGTCGGAAATGAATTGATGTTTTATTCATACCACTATTATGACTTGCGCTTTGTTGTGACAATGATCGATCATACTCTCTTCGACTTTGTTCATTACTTAATATTGAATATGCTTCGTTGATTTGTAAAAATTTTGTATGTGCTTGCTCATCATTAAAATTAACATCTGGATGATATTTTTTTGATAATTTGTAAAATTGTGTTTTTATTAAGTTCCGATCCGCATCTTGTGAAATTTCTAAGGCATCATAATGACGGCGGTAGTTTACAAAGGTCGAAGACATTAAACGAAGCCGGTGAGACGCGGCGAAATAGCGAAAATAGCAAAATCGTTTATTAATTAATCGAATGTTGACTGTAGTAGCATGGGGGTGAGTGCTGCGAGACAGTACAATTGCCATCGTTAACAAATCGTGTTTTTTTCCTTTTTTTTTTTTTTTTTTTTTTTTTTTTAGAGAGCGAACTTTCTGTTCGTAAGTCTTTTATTATAATTTTTATAATTCATTCTCCACGATGCTCCCAAGTAAAAGAGCGTTTGTTATAACATCTACTGACAAACTAAATGAGAATTTCTCAAGTACAGATACTTTTTTATGTCTTACGTACGGTATGTGAGTCGTTTAAATGTTTGCGACATTTATCTTGGTTTTATTCAGTTTTATTGCAATATACTCTACTTTTTTTTTAAAAAGCGTCAAATTTGAGATTATATAATCAAATATGATTGGCTAATTTTTGTGTAATAAATTTTGATTGGTTAAAAATATATATATCTGATAAACGCCAAATTTTTGATTACATATAAACTTCAAATTCTAAAAACCTTTTAATTTTGTAAAAAAAATAAAAATCTATTTTAACAGAATTGTAGCTTAGATTAAAAGCAACAAATTTGAAAGGCAGATTTTTTTTAAAGTTATTTTTTTTTAAGTTATAAGCATTTTTATATTTTATATATAAAAAGTGGATATTTTTAGCTGTCCCGTACTGTATATGTTTATAGATGTTGGTAAAATTCATTTTTGATTTTTGGATATTTCTATATATGAAGGTGAGTTAGTAGAAATGCACCATGTTTTTTTTAATAAAATTTTTTTGAATCTTCAAACAAAAATAAATTTAACCAAATTTAGTAAAAAATTTTTTAAATAAATTTTACAAGTTTTTTGAACTGGTTAAAAAAAAATTTTATTAAATTTAATTAAGTTGTTATTGAATTATTCTTGTTTAAAGTTTCAAAAAAATTTACTTAGAAAAAATATAGTGCATTTCTATTAACTCACTCTGGCCAAAGACTTTTTCATTTGTACAGGTTTGATCATAAGGTAGTTGATCAATTATAATACTAGTTTATAACCATGTAACATGCATTTTGTAAAAACAAATAAATAATAATTTTTTTTTTAGCTTTTTAATAGTCTTGCTAAAGCTCAAAAACTTTTAGTATTTAATTTTTTTTTTTTTTTTAAACTTCAATGATTTTGCCATTAACTTTTATTATTATATTTAACCAAACAGTACATATATATTACATATATTTAACTATCTAACTATATAGTGCCTAGATGCAACTATTTGCACCATCTTACATGTAAGATGGATTATCTTGGGAAACCTCTATCAAGAAACACTCTAAATTTTGATTTACTCAGAACCTTAATATATTTTACCAATTCATATATACCCTGCTATATATATTACTATACAATGTCTACTAGTTATAATCCACCCCTCATTACTTATCACATTACTCCTAATTCATTTCTTGTATAACTTCCAAATTGGTGTCCTAGAAGTAGGCACTCTTTTTGCTTCTAGTTTGGTATTCCTCAAGATATTACTTCAGATTCTAATCTGTATTTCAAGCCAGGTGCTATCACTATCCAAAGACCCGTATCTCAAGCCATTTGCTGCCGTTATTAGAAAAGCTGTTTATATGATTCCAGGTATTCACATCATACACTACTTAATTAGGCTACCACCTTTTTTATAGTACTCCCTATTGATATAGTAATACAGAAGTTTAGATCCTTAGAACAGAAATTAAGTATCTCATTTAATTACTGCCACAAAACAGTAATCTGGGACCTGCACTTCTGTGTTTCGTATAGACTTCCATATAGGTTGTACAACTATTATTCACTAGCCATCTTTTTGTTTGTACTACTAGGGTGCTTGCTTCCATGTTTTTTGGAGTTTTTTTTAAACAGTTTTCCTTGTTTCTTTATTGTATTAGAGGTGTCCTATATTTGGTAAAGCCATTCTCTTACTACAGTCTCTTACTATATTTACTGCTTCTCTCACCACTTCTAGATATATTGCATATAGCCATCCTCCTAATCAAGATCCCAATGCCACCTTAGGGTTGTTGGTGCTACCTTGCCAATTGTAAATTTACATGTACAGTCTTATACAGTATTACCTTTTGTGACTCATATCACATGCAGTGCCTAATCTTTTCTATAGCTCAGAAATTCTTCTAAGAATTCTTTATTAGCCAAATATGTACTTCACATAGTTTTACTACCACAGGGTTTTGCATTCAAAAACCCCTAAAGGTTACAGAGATAATTAATTCAATTAATTACCACTAGCTATAATTGAACTGTTGATCTTATTTGTAGAAAGTTAGGCATCTAAACCACTAGGCTACGAGACTCTAACTATAGTATTTAATTAATAATAAAATAAAATATTATCTAGAACCAAAAAAAATTAGTTTTTCCTTAATTGCAAGCCCAATATCTCCTAGCTGTGTTACAATATACTTAGAAGTAACTTGTTGCACTAATCTATATACAAGTTAAATAAGCTTTGTTAGTTTATCAAAAGCTAATTCTTTCAATTTTTCTTTCTTTACCAAAAGTAAAAGAAAGTAATAATCTTATATCTATAACAAAAAGAAATATATTTAAAAAAAAACAAATAAAATAAAAGAAAAAATTTAAAAAATAAAAAAATAGAGAAAAAATAAAAAAACAAGAAAATATAAAAAAAAATAATAATAATAAAAAAAAAAGCTCAAAAGCTAACAAAAATAAAAAAGAAATCTATTTTTATCAAGAAGTAGCAATTAACCCAAGAATTAACAAAAAAAAGTTTTTTTTTTTTTTTTGTATTAAGATGATCTTTATTGCCTGAGGAACTTTTTATTAGAGTATAAATAGAGTTTTATAATGTAATTACAACAATAGTACATCAAGCTATATATGTACCTTTTGAGTGCCTAATTTAAGTAGTCTGCCCAAGGTTTTACACTATTTTGCTATATCTGTACTCCAACTAGTATTTAAACCATCCGGTCCTAACTACTTCTATCCACCCTCTAATTTGATAAGTTTCCTCACTAAACTAAGTAGATATTGATATCACCCAAACTAGATTTAGCACCCTGCCTTAGAACTTAGAAAAGTGCAGGAAATCATATAATTTTTTAGAGGAGTGGGGGGTCCCCATTTATCACATCCTATATATATATATATAGTCAAATAGCTAATAATATTAAAGTATTTATTATATTAAAAATCATAATATTATATTATTATCTGGATTTGAATTACTCAACAACTAATTATCCAAATAAGCTAAAATTTTACTGTTAATAAATATGATATTAGGCTATAGATAATAAAAATTTTATACAATTTGAATTAGTAATTCTTGAGAAATTGCTTAAAAACTATATATAATTGTGTTATATAAATTGTATTTAGTTTTTAAGTAATTTCTCAAAAACTACTAATTTA